GCTGCTCGCCTGTCATTATATAAACCGTCCCTTCGCTGTCTGATGTGTGTCTCTGCCAGCAATGTAAGGTGTGCAGTGAATCGGGGAAGTCGTGCGGCCCCTTGGGGCCCCCGGACGGCCCCGGAGTGGAAGGGTCTGACTTCGTGCTGTACGTCAGCGGCATCACGACGGAGCGCTGCGGGCAGGAGAACATCGTGGCCTACGCCGCCTACTGCCAGCTGGAGGCGGAGCTGGACAGGTGAGGAAGGACGACACGATATTCAGAGAGAGTTTCATCGTTTTATACCGAGAATAACCAGAAAGAAACAAAGACGGTTACGATAATGTGGTATGTATTCGTAGATAGCAACAGTTAGATACTGTACAAAACATCTTTAAACATTAGTTTAGTTTCATTCTCTCAATAATCATTTTATTTGTTTGCAGCCTGCACAGTTTCCTCAAAGTGCTCATTCAGTTCCCAACCTTTCTCTTTAACAGACTCTATAATGTAATAAACTCACAACCACTGACTCAGTGACACATTTTATAGATATTTAATATTATATTAAAACTGTACAATGAATCCAAACAGTGAACTCAGGAAGTTTGTGTAAAACCAGAGATTTGGATGAATTTTGAGCAGATTATTTCCTGTTTAGGGAACTTTTTATATAATTCTCTGTATTATTATATATTTTTATCAATTTTAACATTCAGAAAGACTTTAATATTCTTCTTTTTTAATAAACTTTAGTGTTTTCTTGTCTCTGAGACTGGGTCTGAACGTGGGTCACAGCAGATTTTATTTGGGTCAGAAATAAATTTGCAGAATTTCTTCCTCCTGATAAACGCACGTATTTTTTTGTTTCATTCATAAAGTTTTTAAAATGTGTTCACTATTTTACTGATGAGAGGGAATAAAAATAGTGAGACGTTACAGTAACGCTACACAAACACATTCATAAAACATAGTTGTGATTTATTAAATGTGTTTCTCTTTAAATGACTTGATGAAGAAAACTCTTCAAAAAATGCTCAGAAAACGTTAATTTTTACAGTCTTCTCTTCTCACTGTGAATCCTGTCTGTCTGTCTGTCTGCCTGCCTGTCTGCCTGTCTGCCTGTCTGTCTGTCTGTCTGTCTGTCTGTCTGTCTGTCTGTCTGTCCTGTAGACCCATAGCAGGCTATGCCAACCTGTGTCCTGCTATGATCTCCTCTCAGCCGCAGGAGTTTGAAGGGATGCTGTCCACCGTCAAACACGAGATCATTCACGCTCTGGTCAGTGAACAAACAGTTTTTATCTTCTCAGTCTCCTTCTGGTGTGTTACAGACATCACAGCCTCACTGATTACTGTACAAAGACCTACTTTATAGCGACGTCTCCATATTTATGCCACTGAGGTCTGACCTGTGTTCTGTCCACCAGGGGTTTTCAGCGGGTCTGTTTGCCTTCTACCACGACGATGACGGCAAACCTCTGACTCCTCGCTTCGCCAGCGGCCTGCCCGCATTCAACGAGAGGTGAATACAGTTTGTCTCAAACTCAGCATGTGTCTGTACAGAGGCTTAAAGTATGTTCATAAGGTTTGAGTCCAACCTTTTCCTGACTGTATATTATAGATATTTAATATTATATTCAGTAATAACAGTAACAGCTGATGAACTGCACAATGAACCCAAACAGTGAACACAATAACTGCAGAAAGTTTGTGTAAAGTGAACAGTTTTAATGATTTTTATGCAGATTATTTTTAGGTTTACTGATATTTTTAGGACCTTTTCATAGAATGTTTGTATTTTATATTTTAAGGTTCAAGGTTACTTTATTTGTACCTGTAGGTAGATTTAGTTTGCAGTAAAAGATAAAAACTGCTCCAGACTGTAAAAATCTTCCAATAAAACATGATGTGTGTCAGTCTGGGTTTGTACCAGTGGAGCGACGCTGTGATCAGGAGGGTCAGCAGACTGTGGGACATCAGAGGAGGAGTGATGGTCCGACACCAAGTCCACGTTCTGGTCACGCCCCGCGTCGTGGTAAGAAGTAATTTAAAGATCCTCAGTTATATTGTTCCTCTAGTTAGTAAATTTCAGAACTGAACTCCCAGTGGACTCTCTCGTCTTTGCTTCCAGGAGGAGGCGCGGAGACATTTCAACTGTCCCATCTTGGAGGGAATGGAGCTGGAGAACCAGGGCGGGACGGGAACCGAGCTGAACCACTGGGAGAAGAGACTGCTGGAGGTAAACCACTTCAACGCCTCCTCTGTCTGAGTCTGGAAGCTGCAAAGAGAAATCGCTGTTCACCGTTTCCTGTCTGCCTCCCTCAGAACGAGGCGATGACGGGCTCCCACACCCAGAACCGGGTGTTTTCTCGGCTGACGCTGGCCATCATGGAGGACAGCGGCTGGTACCGGGCCAACTACAGCCTGGCCCAGAGGCTGGACTGGGGCCGTGGACTCGGCTGCGACTTCGCGTTGAAGAGCTGCAAGTTCTGGATGGACAGACAGAGGCAGAGGTCACATAGTGTACTGTTTGTAGCCTTAATGATCAGACTCAGGTCCTTTAATACTTATATGTACCTAAATATGTTGACACAGCTACTTAATCCAAAGGTTGTGATTCTGTTTTTATTCTGCTTTGTTTCAAATATTGAGACTGTAGACCTCCGCCCAGAAGGGACGCTGAGTTCAACTGTGACTCACATTCAACAGTTTCTGTTCTTTAGAGAAATATTTCTAAACCGTGAAACCAAAGAAATCAAGTCATCATGTGGAAACAGAACAGTTTCCTCAAACAAAACAAACCTCTGTTTGCCCTCTGTAACAGATCAGAGTCTTTATCAGTGCAGTAAACAGCGTCCTCTGGTGGCGAGAGACAGGCTGTGCACGCAAAGAGAAACACATGATCCATAAAGGGAGAAATAAATCTAATATACAGAGAAATAACTGAATAAGGATAATAACAATTAAAGAAAGTTTCCAGTCCTCTGCGGGAATGTGAGGGGAGATACAGATAAATCAAGAGGACCAGAAGAACAACTGCTCTTTCACAAACTGTAAATTCTTGACTTTAAGTAACTCGTGTTTGTCGTTGCAGACGACACGCTGTGACGCCGTACTGCGACACGGTGCGAGCGTCTCCTCTGCAGCTCACCTGCAGACAGGACCAGCTGGCTGTGGCCGTCTGCAACCTGCAGAAATACCCGCAGGAGCTGCCGCTGGAGTACCAGGTACGGGCCCAGGCGCTGGTTCTGGAGGTGGTTGAGAGCCTCATACAGAGTTCAATGTTCACACATCTGTCACACTCTGGTTCCCAACGTTAGAGACCTCTTTTATATCACTGAGTAAACTGACTCCTGATTATATCACATATTTTATATTTCATATATTCAGTAATAATAATAACTGCAGGAGGCTCGTGTGAAATTAGGATCCAGTGAATATTGATCAGAGATGAGTTTTCTTTATATTTTAGGAGCTTTTTATACAATTCTCTCTGTATTATGTTTATATTTTAAGAATCATACATAGTTAGTAGTGTGTTTATGTTTTATAGTGGGATGTTGGCAAAATACGGTAAAATAAAAATTGGAATTTCGATCAGAAAATAAAGTTTATTCCTCTGATTCACTGGCTGTCTCGCTCTCTGTGCCACTCGACCAACGCTGAAGATATTTTTATAAAAAGGGTCGATAAATATGATCAGTGAGCTCAATATTGAGCAGAGCAGCAGGAGATAGTGGATGTTTGTCCAGAAGAAATAACTGAAATCATTAATCGATTGTTAAGATAGTTGCTGATTAATATTTGTGTGTCAGTACTTCGACAGGATCCCAGAGGTGGCGGCTGACCAGCTGTCGTTCTTCGGCGGCGCCGTTGAGATCGCCGATTACTGTCCCTTCAGTCAGGAGTTCAGTTGGCACCTCAGTGGAGAATATCAGAGGAACTCGTACTGCAGAGTGTCTGAGAACCAGCCAGGTGACCCCCGCACCGCTCGCACCGCTCGCACCGCGTCCTCCAGCTGTCAGAGAGACTCCATAATCGTTTAAATACTCGTGTTCTCGGGACTCTCCTGGAAGACGCTCACATTCATTATGAACAACAGGCCGATCAGTGTTCATGAAAACTAAGAAAACATATTGAAATATCATTTAAAACAACAAATAAAAACTAAACTCCAACATGAAAGACGTTCAGTAGTCACGCAGATGTTCCTCTGGATGTTCACTGAAGAAATATGACCTTTTATCTGAATGACAGAACAGCTAGCTAATGCTAATGCTAAGCAAGCCCACAGGAAGTGCACCGGGGTTTGAAGCCAAATAATGTTTTGACATTGCAGCAAAAAAAAGTAACTTTTTACATGAATATTGAGTAATTAATAAATTATTATTTTTTTAGTAACTAACCCAACACACTGACCACTGAGCAGCTGTAACCAGTTCTCTGTACAGGATGCTAATGCTAATGCTAGATGAGCAGGAATGACAGACATTGATGAGAATGACACCTGTAACCATGGTAACTGTGTGTGTGTGTGTGTGTGTGTGTGTGTGTGTGCAGACTGGTGGAGGAACTACGGGGCGGAGCAGTACGGACCGGACTCTGTGTGTCTGTACCAGAAGTCGGCGTTCGTGATGGAGCAGTGCACCAAGAAGATGACGTACCCCGACTGGGGCTCCGGCTGCTACAAGGTGATAACGCTGTTTTTTAACGCTTTCATTTCCACGCCATCGCACCCGGCTCACACTCCGACCCCCCCTCCAGGTGTGGTGCTCGGCTCAGGGCCTGACGGTGTACGTTCAGGATCGCTCCTTCCACTGCGTCCGCAAAGGGCAGCTGCTGAGCGTCAGCGTGCGGGTCAACGACTGGGTCTACAACGGCGTCCTGATCTGCCCCGCCTGCACCGACTTCTGTGACGACTGCCCCCTCCCCCACCAGCTCCCGGCCCTCAACTCCTCCAGGAGCAACCCCATCGGTCAGTGGATGTGTCTGTGGTTGAAGGACTGTTTCCAGCAGAAAGATAGAATCAATGAGTGGTTGAATAGAAACAATGATCATTAAAAAAGACAGAAAATGTGAAACAGTTAATACAAATTAATATATGAATTAAAAAAATGGGATTATTATTATTAAAAAATATTTGCTTACTCATTTATTTTCTTTACATTTGTTTATTTTATTAGTTTCTTTAATTATTAATTGAATTAAATGTAGATTTAATTTCTGTATTAATTTAATCAGTTTATTCTGTTTTGATCTCTTCGTTGTCTCGTAATGATGCACTTATGGTTGCCAGGGGTTACTACCAAAGGCTTCTCAGCTGTTGTATGTCCTGTATTATGGGATGTTTATTAGAGTCTGTTTATTAGTCGATCGTCAGCTGCTTTAATATTCAGTTTGTTTGTTTGTTTGTTTGTTTGTTTGTTTGTTTACAGACCCATGCTCCGGCTCTCCCGGTCTGGCCGTCACTCTGTGGCTCCTGCTGCTCAACCTGCTCCCCCTGGTGGCCGGACTGCTGCTCTGCCACTGCAGCTGATCTCTCACTCACACACACGCACACACACACACACACACACACACACTCACACACACACACACACACACACACACACACACACACTCCTCTTCCTCTTCATCATTCCTGAGTTCTCTGTCATTCGTTCCTCAGGGCTTTTGCTCCTCAGTCGACTGACTCTTCGTCTCTTTGCTCCGTCAGGGATCAACAAACACTCACTGTCGCTCTATCAGATTAAACTCCTCCTCTCCGCAGCGGGGGGGGCTGACCGCCGCCCGCCGCCACAGAGTCGTCACCTGGTGCTTACTGACAGGAAGTGGATTGTCGTTAAGGTATTAAAGACACACGTTTGTATTATTTTTAATTATTTTGGGGGCTTTTACCGCCTTTATTACGCAGCAGCAGAGGATCTGGACTCGAACCCGGGCCGCTGCAGCACGGACTCCCACCAGAGGATTTAAAGCAACAAACACTGTTTTATTTAGTTTTTTTTATTGGTACTTTTAAGCTGAAAGGTCAGCGTACTTCCTGTATGGAGCTGTGCAGTTTGGTGACACCTGGTGGCCGCACGACGCAACTGTTCAACCTTTTTAAAGTTTTACAGAGAAAACTAAAGAACTGTAAATATGATTCTTTCCTAAAGATGCATTTTTAGAGGCGTTTAAAATAATCACTTCCTTCAATCTGAGCAGATTTCAGGAAGGCGAACGAGATGGGTGAAAGGGATTGTGGGTATTTATGTGATATTGATGGTTGATCAGCTTCAACCAATCAGATCAATGAATCGTAGTCAAACTCTGAAGACAGAAAACATCTTTTCCCTCCTTCAGTTCTTTGCATTTCTTCCACTGAACTCTCTGATGCTAACCGCCATGTTGAACGCCATCTGAGTTTAGCTTCCTGTATGACAGACGGCAGTAGTTACAGGGGTCAAAGGTCAAAGCGAAGGTTCAGACTCGCTCTCACTGTAGATAAAAAGAGCCCGTTATAACACAATGATCCCTATATTATATATTATATAATATTATATAATATATATTATATAATATTATATAATATATATTATATATTATATATAATATATATTATATATAATATATATTATATATTATATATAATATATAATATATATTATATAATATATAATATATAATATATAATATATATTATATATTATATATTATATATAATATATTATATATAATATTATATATAATATATATTACTGGGTCTTTAAAACAACAGTAATGTCCAATTAAGTAATTAATCATTAATATTCGGTTTGTCGCTGTAACCATGAGGCTGTTTGTATTTAATAAGGTGAACACAGAGCGAAGGACAGACGGACGGTCAGCAGAGGAACAATAAGCCATCAACACTGAGACAGTGAAACCCTGAACGAGCCATATTGTTCAACAGTTGTTGAATGTCGTCTGAACAAATCAGCTTCAGTAATGTTGATTTAATTAACAGATTAAATCCCCAAACGAGACTGGAACCTGCCGTTAATGTAAGCGTTGACAGCCCTCCAGCTGATGAACTAAGAACCACACTATCTCCAGACTCCCTTAGAAAGATTTATTGAAGCTTTATAAACTTTATTATCATTCTTTGTTATTTGGGTCTTTGTGTAAATTCTGTAAACGTTACACATTCATTGATTTATTTCTTTAGGTATAAAACATTCGTACAGCTTTGAGTGCGACCGCGGGGCTGCTGGTTAAAAACCTGTGATCTGAGGTTGAAGTGATGCATTGTGGGTCAGTTATGAGGAAGGTTGCGTTCACACTCGATGACCTCGCAGAGGTTCACCACTGTTCCTGAAGCTAAATGTGTGTGTGTGTGTGTGTGTGTGTGTGTGTGTGTGTGTGTCTGTGTGTGTGTGTGTGTGTGTGTGTGACAGGAAGTTGTTGTTGTTGTTGTTGTTGTCTGTTTAAGATAAACTCTCAGTTTGAGTGAGTTCTCTTCTTCTGTTGTACTTTTAATGGAGCTTGTTCATTGGCCCTTCTTAAGCCCCGCCCCCTTTTGGAACCTCAGTCTACTTCCTGTACTTAGATATGCTACATGCTAAGCTATGAGCTAAGCTGATGGTTAAAAGATAAAAGTCATTACAGTTAGCAGTAGCTATCTGATAGCTAACTAGCTAGCTAACAATATAGCTTTGCTGGAACATCAGTTAGCATTTTGCTAACATTAGCTAACTTAAGATGTAACTATATTTATATTTATATTTATATTTCTACGTCTCTTATCTTTTACCGATCATTAGCCTAGCATATAGCATATCTGTGTACAGGAGAGGAGGAAGGTGACGAGGGTTGCTCAACTGTGATTGGACCACAGAGCAGAAAGGGGCGGGGCTTATGAAGAGCTTCATGATTAAATTATTTTAAGAAGAAAATCTTGTTTTTATTTATTGAAACAAACAAACATATTTTCCATCAGTCGTTGTGTTTTTATGTTTGAACCAATGTGTTAAACCATGTTTATCATTAATAACTGTTGATTGATTGATTGATTGATTGATTGATTGATTGATTGATTGATGCACTGCAGAGCTTTATGTCCTCACTGTTCCTGCTGTATTACTTTAAAAGGGGCATTTCACCTGAACCGGACTCAACCCATTCGTCTGCAGGAGGTTTTTATTCTGATCGTTTACTGTGAAGACGACTGACGTTGCACTGAGTCGAGCTTCGGGGGGGTTTCCCGCTCAGAAACACTATTCGATTGATCTTTGTCATTTTTATTTTACTATTTATTTTTAGAAAAAGGGCTGCTTTTTAAAGACAAATCAACTCTGAGATATTTGTCAAAATAAATGCTGTCTGTATCCCAGAGATATCTGTCTTCTGTCTTTTAAATTTCTACAAGCTAACAGCTAATTATTGGACATTTTCTATAAAAACATGATTAATTATCAGCTTCTGACATCTTTTTTGGTCAAACATGAATTACTGACATAAAGAAATGAATGCGGTGCAGTATTATTACGTATTTAAGATATTTATTAAGTTTCAGTAAGAAATATACCTTGATAAACCCACAGTAGCCATATTTCCCAGCTCTCCTGCCTGCGCCTGAACGCCTCATTACAGCACATTAACAACAGCTGCTGCTTTTTAATTTGGTCCTGTTCAATAAAATCCACTCACATTTATTTGACATTAACATTAACAAGCTTTTAAACAGTGGAACAGAAATGACTAATTGTGCAACGAGGCAGAAATTATTCATCCTGAGAGCTCGTGTTAAATATTTCACTGTGGCAGGAACAATCAGAGCAAAGTGGTTCCTCCAGGTGTTTCTATTGTCTTTGGTTGATGTCTGCCACCGTCGGGGGGTCGGGTCGGTTCCTCCGCCCTGTCTGACGGAGGTCGGGTCGGTTCCTCCGCCCCCTTTATCCACAGGAAGCCCACCTGGGTGCCGAAGTTGAGTCCGTCTCTGCGGTGGGAGAAGAAGGCCTCGGGGTGGCACGAGGTGCACGGCGTCACGCTGGGCCGAGCCGTCACCGTGTCGTCGTGGATGTGTTCAGGCAGGACGCCGCCGTTCTGAAGGAGAACTCTGGGGCGGGAAGTTGGACGTTAGGTTAGGGATGTTAGCTAATGTACGTCACAAATAAACATAAATCCTGGAGTTCCTTCAGGAGGTTCTACTGGCCTCTGATAATGTTCTACAGGGTTCTTTAGAAGGTTCTGTTGGTCATTAAAGATGTTCTTGAGGTTCTGGGTAGTTATTGTCCCTCAGAATTAACAACAACATTAAGTAAACTTTATTCTGATGTTCTGATGTTCTGCCGTGTTGGGCGCTACCTGTTGGCGAGGCGGATGTTGACGTGCGGTTTGTCGGACTCTGGATCCGGGACGCAGTCCGGATGGATGCGGTGGAAGTCCAGTGCCTGATCTCGCTCCAGGGTGAAACAGCACGCCCCCACCGACGGCCCCACGGCCACCACGATGTCGCTCACGTGGCAACCCAACTCCGTCACCATGGCCTCCACGGTCGCCATAGCAACTCCCATCAGGGTTCCTTTCCAACCTGAGGTCCAATCATAATCCGGTATATGATTTCAGAACACCTGAGGACGTGTTACACTTTCTGGAAAATGACCAAAAGGAACATCTACCTGCATGAGCGGCTCCAATGACCTTTGACACCGGGTCGGCGAACAGGATCGGCATGCAGTCGGCTCCCGGAGCAGCTAAAACCACGCCGGTCTGATTGGTTACTATCCCATCATAGCTCTCCGGCTCCGCTTTCCCCAGAACCCAAACATCGCTGGCGTGATTCACCTGCGGGAAAGAACCATTGTTCATTAGTCATTAAGGAGGTTCTAGTCTGGCTTTAAGAGGTTTTAGGGGTCGTTTAGGTTTAAGCAGATAATGAGGAGGTTCTAGAGCTTTTTTAGGAGGTTCAAGTGGTGATTAAGGAGGTTTTAGGGGTTTAGGAGGTGGTGAGGTGATTGAGGAGGTACTAGAAGTTCCTGGGATCCTTTTTGTAACTGAGGAGGTCCAAGTCGTCATTGAGGAGGTTCTAGGAGTACTTAAAGACTTGCTGTGGTCCCTGAGAAGGTTCTTGAGTTCCTTTAGTAGGTCTAGTGCATTTAGGAGGTTCTGTTTGGCAGTAAGGAGGTTCTACTGGTCTGTGAGAAGGTCCTAGAGTTCATTTAGGAGGCTGTAGTTGCCTCTGATAATGTTCTACCCTTTCTTTAGAAGGTTCCATGAGCCACTAGGAGGCGGTATACACAAAGAAATGTACAGTCAGTTCAGTACCTTGACCATACGGAGCGGCCGAGGGTGGAAACCGGCGTGGAGGGCCAGTCGCCGTCTGTTCTCCTGCACCACGGCCCTGGGGTCCCTCCTCCTGCTGCTGCTGAACAGGTTCAGGGAGGACAGGGTCGGGATGTAGGACACGCCGCCAGTACGAGTACTGAAGCCGTGACTGAAGCAGTCTGAGAGACAAAGGAAGACGGACTGTTGGTTTAATGTTGATACAGTCGCACCAAACTCCATTCAAAAAACGGACAATTTTATAGTTCTTTGCTCATCAGGACATTAAAGTTAAACTGCAATAAAATAAAGAGTTATAAACAGACAATAAACACAGTGACACAGTGGGTCAGCATGATGCAGCTGCACTCAGTGAAATCAGGAGGTTCCAGGTTCATATGTGACAATGTTAACTGAGGGACACACAACCTCAACCTGACCTGCTACAGTTTATACCGATTATTATAGTCTGAATGTCAAAATAACAAGACTGTTAGACTTCATTCATACTTAAAGTAGGATAAGAAAAGCATAAATAAAATGGTAAATACTTTAATGGGGTTTGTTATGGATTTGTCAGATGTTATCAATAAATGAGTAAATATTTGAATGGAGTTTGGTTACATTATATATTAGGTATTATTATTATTAATGGATGTGTAATTATTATATTGAGCATATTTATTATGATCAATATATGAACTTTATCCGTTAATGAGCTGGAATCAATCAATTCATTGATTACTATACATGTGTGTTTTTAAACCGACCTGGGATCAGTGTGGACCTCAGGACCGTGATGTCCCCCTTCAGTGCAGGAAGCTGCTGCAGGAACGAGGACACTTCTTCCAGGACTCCTTCACCAGGTGAGTCCGTGTCGGCGGAGCATGCGCAGTTCGGACAGGTGCAGTTGTCGAGGGAACTCACCTGGTAATCGAACGTGTACACGTCCGTAAACAGCAGGTCCTGGTAGACCCGCAGCACGTCTCGGCCCC